GAAAGCAGCGGCCCCGCCGGGCGGAGGCGCCCTGCCCGAGGGAGCCCCGTCTCAGGGGCTGCGCCTGGGCCCGTCCTCTCCGCTTGAAGCCCCTAAATCCTTGCGAAACCAAGGGCCAGGGCACTCAAGCTTTCCCGTTGCTTTCACATACCCAGGCCCACGCCAATTCACCTGCACGCAGAGTAGCCCGTCCTGCAAGGCTGATCTCTGCACGGTAGCAACACAGCCAGCACCCTGCATTTGATTTTAGGCTCAGCTTGACAAGAGAGGCGCTTACTTCTGTGAAATCTGGAGCATAAGACGAGAGGAGGTAATCCAGATGGCCGCAGGCCAAGTGGTCTTTTTGGGACTGGTGTCCCCACTGCCAGTCAGGACAGCCCTGCTTACAGCGTTGCCCGCCCCCTCCCTCCCCGCCCTCCCATGTCATTAGCAGGGGCAAAGGATGTCTCTTGTGGAAATACACAAATTTGGGAGACATTTCCTCATTCTGATGGACGTATTCCAAAGCACCATGTCCCCACATGGTGCTCTCATCCACCACCTGAACTGTCATATTCATGCTATATTGTGCTAGACAGGGAAGCCAGTCTAGCGTAACATGGCTTATAAATAGCTTCGGATTCTGCAGGGTGGAAGTGTTAAATGCAGAGATGTCACAGCCCCAAGAGAGAAAAGAAGGGACAATGAAGTGGAACATGACAGTACTGTAGTTTCCTTCAAAAGCCTGTGCATCTGATGAGTTGCTTGGGAGCCAAATTTCCCAGCCCTTTATGAGCTGCCGTAGTGAGGGCATGGGGGTGCTGCAGACAGAGCTGTGTGATCTCTGAATAGATCCTCATAGGACTGATGAGTCACAGATTCTCACAGAATCACAGATTTTATGATCTTATGTGAAATGTTGCTTCAGGATCTCTGCTCCTGACCTTCACCCCTGCTGCGCACTCCTAGCTTGGAAGAAGTGACAACCCACTCATTTTAAATCAGCCTGCTGACAAAATAAACTAGTGCACTTGCATGATTCTCATAGCATCAAAAAAAAAAAAGACAAAAAAAAAGACTGGACAATGACAAGTGATTGGTTTGTTTCACATGCTTAACTGTGCACTTCAAACACTGATACCTACTCTTTGTAAGCCTTTCACATGGATACTTACTTTACAGGGGATTACTTTACCCCTGTACAATGGGAGGCTTCCCTATCTTCCCCTCAAAATCTGATGAATGTTGTTTTCAAGATATCGGGGTTGAGAATAGCAGTTAGGCAATTTCTAGCTCTCATGTGATGGCACCACCATTCTTCAGTTATCACAGTACTGTACCTTTCACGTATACAGCACCGGTACCATGATAACCGAAAAAGGACAGTTCATAGTCTTATTATTTGATGCCATTGTCAGATAAACAACCCTCCCTCTATTTGATTAAAAGAAAACTGCTCAGTCTCTAGGCAAAACTGTGATCTAGTCAATCACTTGTCAGTCTGATAAGTAAATGAAATTTTTGATACTGCATGCCCTTCCTCTAACCTGTGTGTTGCAACTAGCAATGTAAGAAATTTAGTCTTTTTCTATCCTCTAACCATGATCAGCCGCAGACAAAGCTTCAATAGGAATTGAGACTGAAGGACTAGATATAAGACCGCTGCCTGATAGGGCTAAAGCTTTGGAGTTGTACATAGCTCCATGAATTGAACTCTTAAGCTGTTTCCTACGGACAATCACAGCTTTAGCGTTTGGCTATCTGTTTGAAACATGCCATTTAATGCCCCAGCTACACAGAGATCACTAGGAAAACAGGGTAATGTATGCTAGGCAACAAAAAGCAAACTGATGTACGCATACAATCCAAGAGCAAGAACTAACAATAAACCCCATCTCTGCAATTCTCAGAACCAGGAATAATATAGAACAGTAAGGGAATCATCTTCTAACATGTAGAAATAAACACTAGGTAATTTACACCACCTGTCTCATTTGAAGACGGGTACAAGTTGTTCTATTCATAGTCACAGGCAAAGTCTTCCATATACAAAAAATAACTACAATAAAACTAGGGAATTAAACAAGACTGAGTATTTAAACTGAACAAAACAACTTACGTGTATGGAGACAGAGGTCCTAACAGGACTTTGGAAACATCCCGTTGTCCAAGGGTCATGAGGAGCAGAGCAAGGCTCTGATTTGTTGAATCTACACAGCCTCCCTGCAAACCAAAATGTTTTAATAATTAATCTCTCTACAAACCAGAAATTGGGATGGGAGGAGAGTAATGAAGGAGAAAGATACACTTAAAAGGCTGAATTATCGCTCCCAATTTTCAAGGACCGAAAAGATAAAAATCTAGATTTTGTAACAATGACAAATTAATTTCACATGGCAGGCTGGGAAAGGAACAGAACTAAAACAAAACCCAGCAACAAGGTCACATTAAAGATCCCTCCCATCTGTCCCAACCTGTTCTCTTCTAACATCACAGAATGTAAGCACTGAAGAATTTCTTTGCAGTAAACTGAAAACAGGTATTAATTATAGTTCATGTGCATTTGAAGGTATCATAAAGTGCTGCAATTCATGGTAACTATAAAGTTACATTCAGACAAACAGTTCAGTGTTAGCATGTGCAAAACAGCAAGTTAAAAGTTGTTTCACACACATCCACCTAAGCCCTTGCTGCTAACTTTTGTGGTTTTACATTTGTAAACATTTTTTCCCCGATATTTAAAACGGGAAGCTTTTTTTTTAATTGCTATGTGGAAGAGTCATGCATAAAATTATGTAGAATTACACATAGTCTTGTACATATTTGACTGTACTAAGTCATACATGCATGGCTGTTTTGTATGTGGAAGGTGTTCACTATGATGCATACCTAAATTAGAATTGGAAGGCTTTCTTTGTGTACAAAGCTTGAATGTAAATTAAAAGCAATACTTTCAGTCAAGACTGCTGTAGAGAGAATTTACCAACTATTACTATGCAAACACATTGAAAATAGAAAAAATATCTGGCATAACATTATTTCGGACGGTCCTCATATTCATCCTGATCCACAGCCGCACAAAATCTGTGAACAGTTTCCTGCTGGATCAGGCCTAATCCTAAGCCCTCTGAATAGGCTGTCTGGAGAGAGCAAAACTAAAAATTCATTCTTTTAAAACCAAATTCTCTAATGAGGTAAACTGACAGTTACGTTTGTGGGCAAGGAATAGCCTGTGATCATTTTAAGAGATAACACCATCCAAAACGACAAGGGAGGGGCAAAATAAATTTTGGACTACACAGATTAAGAAAACACAATGATGTGACAACCTCAGCACATTTACTCAGTGAGAGGACAGAAAGGAGGACCTTTCCAAGGAGGGTGTTGTGGATTAACCTGGCAGGCAGCCAAACACCACACAGCCATTCACTCACTCCCACCCTCCCCCAGTGGGATGAGGGAGAGAATCGGGAAAAACAAAGTAAAAATTTGTAGATTGAGATAGACAGTTTAATAGGACAGAAAAGGAAGGGGAAAAAAGAAAAAAAAAAAAAAATAGTGGTAGTAGTAGTAGTAGTGATAGAATAGACAAAATAAGTTATGCACAATGCAATTGCTCACCACTGCCGACTGATGCCCCGAGCAGCGATTGCTGCTTCCTGGCCAACTCCCCCCAGCTTATATACTGAGCATGACATCATATGGTATGGAATACCCCTTTGGCCAGTATGGGTCAGCTGTCCTGGCTGTGCTCCCTCCCAGCTTCTTGTGCACCTGGCAGAGCTTGGGAAGCTGAAAAATCCTTGACTATGTAAGCACTACTTGGCAACAACTAAAACATCAGTGTGTTATCAACATTATTCTCATACTAAATCCAAAACACAGCACTATACCAGCTACTAGGAAGAAAATTAACTCTATCCCAATCGAAACCAGGGAAGAGGGTTACTGAACGTTTAATTTCAAGATGGCCTTGCTTCAGAGTGACAAGTCTCAGCTCCACTCTTCTGAAAAAAGCCTCTGCACTTCATGCAACAAATGATACACCACAATGAAGGAAACATCTTCATTACGTTCACAACCATGACCTTCTAGCAACATGCTCTTACAGCAGCCGTTGCCTTTTTAACTGTGTGAACCTGCCATACTGAAGTGAAATTCATGCACTCAACCTAATGCCCTCTACGCGACTAATAAAAATTGTGCTTTATCTTGAGCAGACAGGGTACCTGCCAAATTTACTGGTGTGATCTAGAGCCACAGCTCTCACCAGCTGCATTTGTCAATCTGAAACATGTACAAGAAGCAGATGAGAGTTTGGTAAGGAGTATTGCTGACACAGGACTTTCTGTATTCGTAGTTTGGTTCATAATTCAAAATGCTCTTTATCACTTGGATGAAAACTTTACATTTTCTGAGCTTGTTTTTGTTTTTCTAAAGCTGAAAACATTATAAAACATCTATTTTTATGACCAAATTTATACAAAAGCTTCAATCAGCATAGAGACGACATCCTAAACAATATAGAAAAACATGATGCATCCATCACGTCCTAGCTGCTTACATAAGCTCTCTTGCTGCATTGAGTCAGTCGTCCCCACTAGTGCATTAGCAATGCGCTGTTATGCCCATTCCCACATAGGCAGTTGCCAGACAGGGAAATTAAGTGATTTGCTTGTAATCTAATGATGACAGAACAGTAACTTGTGCCAAATGCAGGACATGCCGTTCCCAAGGAGGCCAACTTACTTTCAACCCACCTGCCACTTACTCAAGAGTCCAAAACCAAAAACAACCCTCCCAAGAGAAACAGGACGGGCAAAGCCAGAGCCAAAGTACTGACATTTGTTCCAAAATAGCTGGCACTCGTTACCAACCTAGGATGCAGCTTCTAGTCCATATTAATTCTGTTTATGGCAGTTTCTCCATTATTGTTTCCATTGACAACAGAGCTAGACCCAGCTGGATGTGACAATCAGAGACATAGATCACTTAAAATCCTGTCCATTTTGAAATGTTATACAAATACTACAGTTAACATGCCCATCCAAATATCACAACTCTGGGTATTGGACAACAGTGTTTAAAAGAGGGTTCTTCTTCTGAGCTTGACCCCAGCTTCGATTTAGTCTTGGTTATATTTTGGCATACACAGAGTTTCCTCCTTTACCTGTGCAGTATATACTTGCACGCTCAATAATTTGTTATGTGAGGTGTAGAGGGGTTTTTTTGTTTGTTTGTTTTTCCTTCCAGAAGAATGGAGCAGAGCCTTGTCACACTGAAGTAAGGCCATCTCAAAAATTAAGCCTTCAGTGAAATGCTTCACCCATTTTAGCTCTAGTTAAATAAAACAAACAGCCTTACCCCTCCAAGCCCCCCTAACAACTTGACCTTTCTTCATTAAAGAACTCAGCCTTAAACAGGTATTGCATCCTCCCCTATTTTTCATGATCACAAGGAACATAAACATTCAATCCTTTCCCAGTTCTTCCAGGCTTTTCTATTCTGCCAATCACTTGCTATATAAAGCTCCCGTAACCAACGCCTTTCAAAGACAAGAGGAAAATCCTTATCGGCCTTCTACAATTAAGCTTAGGTAAGAACTGCATATGCATTTGTAAACACAATGCTAGCCAGTCACTCCATGCCCCCTCTTCCAGGGACACTGTAATTAGCACTGTGCCACTTATTATTAGTCAATTAACTCTGACATATTTTCATCAACAAATGTACATACAAAAGCTCCACTGATTCCAATAATCATCCGACCTCTTTCATTTCTTTTTGATGGCTTAATAAAAGGGACCATTTAGCACTTAACATAGCAAGACTCAAATCCTTAGATTTCCTAGGTGGTAAAGTTCACATAATAGCAAGCATTAAGCAAGCACTTTAAGAGATGTCCTTGAACCCCTCTGAACAGTAACGAACTCCAGCAGATTTATGGGTGACACCGACAGCTAAAACTCTTCTACAGTGAATTATCTCCAATGCTCCCAGGATGCCCTTTTCTGGTCAACCCTCCCCGGCTCCTGCAGCACAGTACCTACAGGCAAAGACACAGACGGAGAAACAATCTCATAAAGAGAGGATCTAAACACAGGGAGAGAAGTTCTCCCTTGAGCCTGGTATTCAGTGAGTAGCTGGTGTAAAGAGAGCAGGACTTAAAGAGTCCTGCAAAAGCAACCTATTCTTGCTCAGTGAACAGCCTTCCCAAATTTTTACTGTTTCACTAGACACCTTATCTAGGCAAAGAAACTTAAAAAAAAGTAGTATCTTCAAACTAAACAAACATTGCACACTTTGCAACATGTTTTTATATCATCTCTGGGGTTAACACTAGGTCAAACCGACTTAATCTCCCCTCCCCCCCGCCAAAAAAAAAAAAAAAAAAAAAATCAGTGAGAAAGCCCATCTTTCCAAATTCCTGGCTAGCGCTGTGTGAGCATGTGTGTCATACATAAATTCATGTATACATTCTGAAAACTACAGAACAAAACCCACTATATTGCCTATGACAGAGGGAACAGGGAATTCATGAACATTGAATAAGGACTGAGCACTCCAGTGGATAAGCAGCACAATAGCCAAAAATGTTAACAAACAAGAACTCCTCCACCGTGAACTGCTGCAGTGGAGGACCACAAGCAGTCCATACACTGCTCAGCACTTTCAGTCACCGTTGGACTGAAGCGGCCCACACATAGAAGAGCGTTCCAGGAGCACCAGTGGTACCATAGCAGGCCACAGCTAACAACATCACGCTCACTCAGAATCTGATCTTCAAAGACATTGAAACCTCATCAAAGGTTTATCATTCAAAGACTTCCCTGATCCTGTTTCCTTCTCAAACGCTTTTTTTTCCTGTTGTCCCAAGAGCCTCACTATCCTGGAGCTTTGCAGAATTTGACTCATCCCATTCAAATGGCTGCAGCACACTAAAGCAGAAAATGACCTGGTTCAGGCCCTTCCAGCCCTCTTAATTTCAGAAGTTCTCTGACATCTGACTCTGAAGAAAGTATAATATCTGGACAAATCCCCTCACTAGTTTCAATTTGTCAAGTGCTGGATGGTGTTCAAAGGAAAAAAATACCTATTGTTGCTGATAACAGTATGTGGAAATTGGATTTTTAATACCTCCAATCATCTGACTACCTGAAGATGTTTTCCAAGGGGTTTACACAAATGTACCAAATTTTAGGTGTTTCTTGGTTTTGTTTGTTTGAGGGTTTTTTGGTGGGTGGGGTGGGGTGGGGGGTGAAGGGGAAGCTGAAAGATTTTACAATTCACCCGTCAAATAAAATAGCTACCTGTTACTACATAATTGTAGAAACAGACAGATGTTTCAGTCACTAGTTGTGACTGCACTCTCCATGCACGCTGGACTTGCAAATGCAAGGGGTCTGGACTGTACCCAGGAAGAATATTTGTTTGTGGCACTTCTATGAGATAAGAACCCTGGGCTAGAAAGGGAAAGTCCTCTAGCAACATGGTGCATATACTGAATAAACAAAGACAAAACATTAATGGAAGACTGGAACACACGGGTGAGTTGGTAATTCAGACAGATGAAGGGTTTGCAGCAGGGAAAGGAAAAGGTAACATGGGCACAGATGAACAATCTGCTACAGGCATGGATGTGATTTATGAGGTTAAGGAGTATTTTTATAATTGACTACATTACCTAATACAGAATCTCATTAATGGCATTTTTAATACTTTGCAAAGTCCTATCAGGTTATTCCAGTTCAAAGCAGTTACTTTTTTTAAAACAGTGAGTACAATTTGTAGATGACTGCCTCCTAAAGGCCAGATGTGTTTTGTCAATACTAACAGCTACTTATTTTAATATTTGTGGAGATACACAACCAAAGCGGGTAGGTTCTTTATTAAATCAGAAACTCACTATGATGCTAATTGCCAAATCATTTGTAAGACTGAAAGCTGGTCATCCACTAGAATTCTCACCACAAATGAAAAACGTTTTAATACAAAAAAAATTTACGCTGCAGAAGACTGTGATGCACTTAAGATTCCTATGCAAACGCTGTCCTAGTTCCTTTCCAACAAACCATTCAGCCAATTCCTCACACAACCAACAGATCTCAGCACATTTGCCTTTGCCATCATCACCATAAAGCAGCCACCATCGAGGCTAGCTGCTTTTTTTTTTGCCTTCTTCCTCACATGTTCTCCCACTCACAATGCCCCATTCCAACCACTAGTTTAAGAGCATCGGCTCTATTACCCCTCCAACTTAGTATTAAAAAAAGTAACAGCCCATATGAAGCCAACTGAATTCCGTTGCAGACAGAAAGCAACAAAAGAAAAATTTGCCACTACTATGATTCATAGCAACATCTCCTGGACACGGGAAATAACATGGCCTAGCAAGTCATTACACTGTTAATGGAACCATTCAAAACCACTCTTCACCTGGATGAAGAAGACACTGGCTGCACCAGATCATTTCTCTGTTTGGATCTGAGCCTGTCTGAGGGTGCCTCCAAACCACCTCTTCCTTTACCAATATGTCATTACCTTCTTCCCCTACAGCTATACACACAAAACGTATTGGCCACTTACCCTGTAGACCTCCTCAAGCAACAGCTTAGCACAATTCTGGCCAAGTTCCTCGGGAAGCACAGCTGCTCCCTGCCCCTGAGGGTTTGAGGCTAGCTCAGCACTGAGAATAGTGCCGTTGATGGTTTCTGCAGTAAGGCACATGCCAAAACCTGGTGATCTGAAAGAAAGGGAAAAAGTACATTTGATTTAAGGACAAAAATCAAGTAATGAGCCAAGAACTACTGCCAGCCAACCGCCTCCTCAAGTCACAAACAGCTTCTCTCATAGGACAATACTGGGAATATGGACTTGCTGACAAATTTCCTGTTCTATACATTTGATTCACCTGGAAAATATATTAACAACAGTATTTAAAAGTTAAACCCACTACCACTTACCCCAAACCCACTGTGCTGGCTATTCCTGGCACAAACTTTTTAAAAAGGAGAAAAAGGAAAGAAAAAAATAACAAATAAAACATCCAACCTCAGAAATATCCTCCCCTATTAAAAAAATAGTGTCTTTCACATTTATTTAATTCATATTTGATGAACATTTCAAAAGTGTCTGGATTTTCTTTTCTGCGACATTCAAAACCAAAACCTAACTTTCTTTAGGGATTCAGCTCGTTCCCTGGAAGCTTCAATATTTAGCAAGATTGGACCATAGCCATGGCACCAAGCAGGGAAATAAAAAAAAAGTTTGATCCGTATTACTTGTATTTCCAATCGCTTCTTTTCACTTTCAGTTCAATATCATCCAAATCATTACAACCATGTAAGATTTCTGAACACATGATTTGAAGAAAGAAACCCCCCCACCATTTTCTCAGAGCTTAGGATCCTACAAAATGCTACTGTGAGAGCTAAGAAACATTTCTGCTACAAGGAAGTCACAGATGGCTGAGTACAGCTTGCTGAGAAATCAGAAAGTTGTAAGGAAGGAAGAAAAAAACACCTCACAATACCCTCTTATTTATAGGCTCTGGAAGAGCACCAATAGCTAGCCATTCAAAATAAGGTTAACTTAACTTCCCACAGTTCTGGACTCCTGCTGCCTCCACCACCCAAACTTTTTAATTAAAATAGTCCCACTGACCTGAAACTGTAAGGAAAGTCACCAACATCAACAAACCACAAGATCAAACCCCAAACACCAATACACACAAACTCTCCCAGTGCCAGAAAAACAACAGTTCCTCCAGAGGCATTTCCAGGGCGGGAACGAAAAGATACCAGTGGTTCCCACCCATATTTAACTGCCTGCACTTGCTGAGCAACAGAGAAGGTATGTTAAAGATGTTTCTCTTCTTCTTCCCTTCCTCTGAAAGAGAGACAGAGATCTAGAGAGCAACACAAGGACAGTGTCAAAGATGCTATTTTTTGGACAAGCATCCTTTAATAACTATACCCACTGGCAGATTTTCTTAGTGTTCAGTAGCATGTGGCAATCTGCCTAAAAAAAATTAAAATCACCCAGTGCCTCATGTATGCGCAGACAGTATTAGGAAGCATCTGCACAAACTTTTTGCTGCCAATGCTCAAAACAGAACTGGAAAGTTTCTGTTTAGAGAGACATTACAGGTGGCAGAAGATGCTCAAATAATGTATTCCCTGGAGCTTTTGGCACTGTGGAAGGGATACAGTTCAACGCTTTATATTCTGAAATCAGGACTTGGTTTGGGCTGGGAACAGATGGGCTGAACTAGTCCTTGCTGGTCTTACTCATCACCAGAGGCAGCACTGGAAACAACGAGGCATACTGCTTTCCTTCCTTGTCCTGCCAAGACACACACAAGCACTGGGAACCAGGTAATAAAAAAAAAAAACTTTGCCAAAGTGGCACAGCGTTAGTATTGGGTATACTGCAATCTTACTGGCACTGTACTTATGCTGAATGTGACAGCACAGCAGCATCAGAAAGCCACATGCACGAGCAAGGTGGAGAGGCATTCAGTTCCTCTTCCCATGCTATTATTTCTCCCTCTGCATGGGCTACCCATGCAAGTAGTAAATGTAATGCTGCTGCCCCAATTCATTTGACTTTTCATTTGACTTTTCCACTTTATAGACTGATAAAAATGAAAATAAGACCCCCAAATCTCACAGCTCCCAGAACAGTGATCAGAATTGCAAAAACTTTTAACAGTCTGGAGCCACAAGACTTATTAACCTGGGTTATTAAATATGATGAAGGATTAGAAAAGAGGAAAAATACTTAAAAGTAAGTAAACAATTTTTAGATTTGTAAACTTGCAAACCTAACAAGTTTTCTTCAAGGTAATATTTCAAAAAGCAGAAACAGTGAAAGAAAATGTGCATGCTTGGATCTGAGCATAAAGACAGAAGACAAACAAATTAAGTTATCCAGAACTCCTTCAACCTCAACAAAAAGTGACAAGAGGACAACAAAGCTAACAGATATCAGTAAAATCGTCTGAATCGCATCCATCACTTCTGTATTCTGCTGACAAACAAAATCTGTGGAAGTACAGTAAATTAAAATGTCTCAATTTTCCAGTCCTCACTATTTTCTCTTTCAGCTATTTATGTAATGGTAAAGCAGAAGACAACCCATACAGCTCGAACACTTTCTAAAACAATTTGGTCCCATCCTTAATACTACCATTTCCATCAGAAAGTGTACAGTCAAATTTGAATGTTAGTTTTCACAACATACCATGGCACCTCTGATCTTAATCTACTTCAAAGCAACAGGTTTAAAACTGAAGAGAGCTCAAGTTGCCTTTAGTGGCAGTAATGACGTATTACATTCCTTCTTTAAGAAAACACAAAACTTCTGTCCTTGTACCACAAGTAAAACAAACGTATCTAGTGAATCATTCCATTTTTTCTGTGAGGAATATTTATTTCACGTCAGCAAAATAGAAGATCATGGTCTAAAACTCAATAAAATTACACATCAGAATACCCTAGCAGATGAACAAATGCAGAATTACATTTCTGTTCCCTGAGAATACTGGATACTCACTTTCCAGAGCTGACCCCCTTCATATGATCTGTGTAAATATAAATGTCTGGGAGGAATTTATTCAGGATGCTCCTTGCAGATTCCACCATTCTGTTTGCCATCTGTGGTGACACTCTGACAGAGTATCTTCGTTTCCGAGCTAAGGAATTCATTGTGGTCACAAAAGAAATTTAAACCAGAGACTGACAAAAGTGGCCAGGAGGTCCCAATACATTATTTCGGAAAATGTGGTTTTGTCCTATACGTCCATTCATGAGCACTGGTCCATTTTCCTGTACTCAGAGAAGCACATGTGCATAAGTACTCTCTACAGTCTTTTCACTGATACACCTTGAAGTGAGGTACACAGAACACGTGCAGAAGAACAGCTTATTATGACTAGGTAAACACCTATTTTAAAAATGCCCTTCAATAATTTTAAATTGCTCTTCTGTCATACTGTGCTTTCTTATGATGGAGGAAGCCCTGCGTGCTCTGCTCCTCATATACTATTAAAAGATGGTGACAGGTGAAGTTTCTCTGAATTAGCAGCAAGAAATCCTGGCTTTCTATTTCTATCAGGGAGAAATTGGGTAGACGAAATTAAAGACAAATGTTTTAGCAAAAGAAAACATTAGTTTTAAAAGGCTAAAAAAAAAAAAAAAATCCGTGCTCTCTCCAACTATTTTGCAGTGCTGTAAGGCTATCAAGTTCACTGGTTCTCTAGTCACTCAGCATCTGAAGATAACGGTTCCAGGGAAGAAGATATGACCACGTTCCTGCTCACCCCAAACCACCTCCCCACCGTACACAAGAGATGAACTGCCTTTGTGCCCTTTCACTCAGGTGCTGCTTCAGTGATATTCCTGACAGGTCTTCAAATGTACAAAGCACATTGTGCTCCAAATTCCATCCCAACTATAATGCAGACTCACACTCTGCACGTTTAACTACCCATCTGCACCCACATACACATAGCAACGCATAGAAACACACTCTCAAACCTGCCAGCTGGCAGAAGGGAATTTCCTTTTCTACAAATTTCTATTGCATGCTCTTGTGGAGTACGTAAACCAAAAGCTTTAAGATCTTAAGGGCAAAACCAGTAAATAATAATCAGAACACTGATCGTTCTGCACAGTTGGTGCACTCAGTATTTTGAATGACTATAAAAGGTTGCTGCAGCACAAGCTCCCCAGCTGTGAGGAAGCAGAATTGCTCAGTTGAATCTTGAAGAAAGGCACATACAAAAGACCTAAGCAGTTATCCTTCCAGATGTTTTGTTTTCTACTGGCTTGAAGGACACTTAATGGCCAAACTAAAATGAGACTGCCTCTCACAGGGCTTACTAAAGGCAAACATTTATCCCCGAGAAAAAGCCCAAGAAAACCTAAAGGAAAGTGGAAGTTCAAAAACCTGTAGTTCACATACATCAACCAAAGCCAGTCAAAGTGGCCCAGAACGGCACGGAGTATTAATGACAATTTAGAAATATGGCACTAAAGCCATGATCATTGCTTCCTCCTTCACACAGAAACAGAGGATTGAACTACTTACTACAGAGGTGGACGGGGGCATAAGGAAATTACTTTCTTCATGGAAAGACCATGACAAGCACCCCCTCAGCACACTGAGCTGCCTCCTTTGTTATTCTACAGCACATGCACCCAGTAAATTGCTCTCACTTGGCAATGCTGCACTCATTCAAGTGCCACAGCTGGAGACAGAGGTCAAGGCATGCTGTTCCCACACACAACTATGATGATACGCCATACAGTAAAAGGAGGAACGGGCTGCAAGTCTGCAGCTCTGGCAGGAAACCTGCCACCATTCATGCTTTCTTTTTGAGTAATCAAAGCCACATCATGTTTGGGACTCTCATAATCAAAAATTAAACTACAAGTTGGCCAATGCTCAAGACAGAGCAGCAGCTCATGAAACACAACCTTTAGTATACCTTGCCTGTAAGGGATTTCTGCCTTCTTCCTACGGTAACAGCAGATTAATGACAGATACCATATAAAAACCACAAGAGAAAAACCAAGAAAAAAAAACCCCAATCAAAACAAACTGTTGCAGTTCTGTTTGCAAAAGTGAGTACTCCACAGCAGTATTTTGTGCCCTTATCTTTGTGCGGAAATAAAATCTCCTCCACTTCCATTTCCAGTGGTACTACTGAAGGTGAAGAGGTAACAAACTTCTTCTCATAATACAACAAAAAGCTCAGTTCAGATGTGTGCAGTGAGGTGTAAACTGAACTAAAATTTAAGCTCCCATCCAACATTCTGCTAGACTCATTAACAGTCAAGATGCCACCTATTCAATGCATAATAAAACTACATTTGTTACTACCGGATTTACACACAAGGTAACACTTTTAGCGCTCCTGCATTATGTGTGATGGAAGGTATTTTAACTTTTTCTTGCTATTGAAAAGATTTTAAATAGTGCTGTTCAGTTTTAAATTTATTTATTTGTCTACTGATGCTTTTTGAACAGCAATGTTCTGAACACAGCAGTTTTGAGACATGGTCCTGAAATCTAGTTGTGTGATCCCTCTGCGTAATGTCACCCTGTGTTATCTGGATACACGCTCAGCAATGTGGGTGCACTTCTGTGATTTCAAGCTGGGAGACTTATTTTTTTTAAGGCAAACTCGTTTAAAAGAAGGAAAAAAAAAAAAGGATACGCAGTTCCTCTGATGCGCTTGATTTTGCCAGGGTCTGTGAACTGAATAGGCTGCAAGACCTTTCTCACTGGGCAAGCAAACAGTATCTCTCCACCCCCTTTGGGAGGCATTCCTCTCCGGTTGATCTAGAAACAATAATGAAGGAAAAAAGCAGGTTAGTAAAGAGCACAAAGAATGTACTTACACACTCAAAAATGATAGCTTTTACTTCACATATAATAAAATGTTATTAGTAGGGGTATTTTGTGAACACAGACACGAAAAAGACATCCTAAAGGCAGAAATGGGTTTTGCACCAAACCTATAAACAAAAATTGATTTATTTTTTCTGCCTCTCTCTCAAGTACAGTAGGGCATGGCTTCTCAACACAAAAGAAAACCAACCGAACAAAAACCCAACACTTTTAGCAGGAAGGCAGCCTTGGCTTAAGACTGGTGTCTAATAGCAAATCTGTACCTCACTGCTGAAGAAAGTCTAGAAGTGTTTGATGCTTAGTATGTATATGGGGG